CCCCCCCCCCCCCCAGTTTTGCTAGTTATCCATGAAAAGCACCGAAGGGAATGGATACTATAAAATCGTAATGTACAATTGCAATTACAAACCAACGCGTCGATCTCTTAACCTACAATCCCGGACAAAACTACTTGAGTAAGTTTTCCCCATCATGTCCACTTTTCTACGCAACAAAACTATTTCCAAAACGACGCCTTTGCGGAAAGAAATCTCCTTCCTCCAGTTCAATTTTGCTTCCTACAAACGCCCAGGAATCAGGCTTTCTTTTGAATCACAACAACATTGCTTTCAGTGGAAGGGGGAGAGGGACGAACCGATACAGCTTCGATGTTTAGAAAAATTTTCCCCAAGTATACAATTTTCTCAACAGTTTTGTGCAAGATTGTAGTCTCAAGTTGTTGCAAAGGATAAATTTGTCCAGCTGTTGAACCAGTTGATAAGCACTTGGGATACCAATTGCATTATCCGCTGTATAGATCCCTCTCTCTAAGAGAGATCTATGCAGCGAGTAGTTAGTGGCGAGCTGATAATGCTGGAAATCACCAAGAGATAAGCTAGCATTTAGTCCACCTAAAAGAGAACTTGCTTATGCTGAATAGTGGTAAGCTCTATGAAGCTGTGTGAGATTACAACCTTTTACCAAGTAAGATAGCCAGGCCATTTCAGAATACTACGATTACCTTGAAGACTCCTTGAACCCAACACTTTGCTTAAGGATTTACGCACGTCGTTAGCCTCTTTTAAGTTCCTGTCATTTTCTGTTCATTTACACAAGGTCGACGCGGAAAGGATAACGATAACGATACATACCTCTGAGCTGTAGTATTTCCTTGAAAGGGTTTGTGTTCTTTACCACCGATTTTCATTTTACACTCAGGACAAGCCTTCACCTCCATAGGGCGGCCACACTGCAAGGTAAGGAAACAGGATCACAATGAAAATAAAACAATAAACACGTCTAAGGAGCATGAGAAATACTCAGTTGCCTGGTATGGAATCCGGTCTCTTGAGCGACTGCTAAGACCAAGGGAACCTAGCAGAACATTGTTAGGAGAAAGAGAAACTTGTGATTTGACATTTATGTAAAAATAAACCATGACAACAGATATGTAGAGTTGGTGACCACAGTACCAGTCTTGTTTTAAACTTGTAACTTTTCAAATGGCAGTAAAAAGCGTCACTTACGTCTCCAACGTAATAGGGATGTCCGTTGGGGCACTCTGCAACAAAATAGCACCGGAAACCAAGTTTATTTATTTCACCAAACATTGCATTGTCTTCCATAACTGTCACTTGTAAACTGCCGACGTATTTGTTTTCAGAAGTCGAACATCCCTGACCTTTGTTCAAGAGCGTCTCCAGACTAAACCTCTATAAATCATCGACGAAAATACAAGAGACTGTGCCTTCCGCTCAGTTATTCTGGGCTTAAACTCCAGGTTTTGAAGCCGTTCAATAAACTTGCAGTTAGTATTAATTTTTATCAAATCTAATACCAGTCGGCAACGCCTCGAATTTTTGAACTGACAGAACACCCCTACTTTTGCTTAACATGCATTAATAGGAGCGACCTTTGGATACCAACAACACCCGACACGCGGAATAAGCGTAACAATAGCTGACAATTCACCAAACTAAATGGCAACCTCATGTTTCAGTGACGTTTGCGGTTTTGAACGCCGGGTAGAGAGGGAGGGAGGAAAGGTTCCACGTAAGTAATTGAGCCGTATATTTCCATGTCATCACATAAACAAGTAAATTTTTTGTGGATCAAGTCTTTCACTTTTATTAATGCCAGACAGCAAACATGGACCTTATTGATGACTTTAAAACAGCAAAGATGCTGTTCAAACATTCAATGTGGCGGCCGGTTCAAGTCAAAACGTGTTCAGGTGGTATGTTGCGTTCTTTGGGTTTCTCTGCACAAGAAATAGCTTGTTATTGGATTCATTTTGATCTTAATCATTTTTTGCTCGTCTGTTCAAGATATTTTGTCTTAAAAATGTCAGGAATCAAACTGCGGTTTCACGTCAGCTAACTGCCTGCACGACTTTAATTTACCACTTTGATACTTACGATACCATTTTCCACTCTCTCGCATTCCCGCCATTGCTTCTTGCAGATTGTCATCAGGCATTGTGGGTAGGTATGCGTTCTAATATACAGAAAGATGGCGATGAAGATTGCAAGAACGCGTAAGTGACGTTTTCGCCGGCTTCACCGTTCTCGGTTCTTAAGTGCCCTATTACCTCAATAGGACAATTGCTCGACGACTTCATTTTACTACAACTACAAGAGTCCTTCAGTTTGTTGTTTTATTGTGCAAATTAGAGCCATTGTTTTTTTAAACATAAGCGGGATTTACAGAAATTTAGGAAAGCAAAAACGAAATGTAGTCAAATGTCGTCATCGTGAAAATGGCCCATTGGACAAAGCAGTGTGTCTGGTCTTCGGTTTCGCACTCTAGCCAAGCCTGCATTTGTTACGTTTTTTAACTTTATCTTAAAACTGCGAGGAGCACATCTATTTCTTTCATTTTATTTGCAATTCATATTTTGCATTTTGGCAATCGGTAGGAACCGTCCTTCAAGAACAAAAAAAAGGGAAAGAAAAGCGAAAACAGAACTGTACCATTAAGGCCGCAGGATTATCCATCAGCAGTCGCAGTGGTTCGCAAATGGTCACGTGATTAATGGACTGAAGCACAGTCGTAGTATGAATTACAAGCTCTGAC